CTGTACACATCAGCTGTTACATAAAACCAACTGCACGGAAATGGGACATATTTTTAGAATTTTCTTGCATCATTTGGAGAATAAACACGCACAAACCTTCGGATGGAATTTTGAAAATTGCGAATTAAATCAAATAGTATTTTCTTGTCATATTTTTGATGATTTGGTCCAGTTAGTTTGCGTAATAAATGATGAAATCGGTCAGAAAATGCACGATGATTGAAATGAAGAACACAAGCACACTCCCATTTACAATTGAGAAACTCAAGCAGGAACAAATAATTGAAAAAATCAATTCGCCAAAGTATCCAATGGTTGTGGTTTTATTATATGGCAAATTGATGATGGAGAAGGGTGAAACGAAAATTACATGCTCAGTTCAAGTAACAAGCAACAAAAGTAATTTTTGAACCAAAAAAAGTCGATGATTTTTTAGCTTTCCAGTACGACATCTTGCATTTTTAATCCTCAAGTTACACATATTCGAATGACAACGACAAGTCTTTCGTAGATGTAAAAGCACAAACAAATCGAAACGTTACTATTCAAAACGAAATTGGCGGCGAATACCGGCAGGATACATTTTAAGAAAATCCATTTAGCTTTATTGTTTGTCTGTTTCGAATGTTTAAACGAATCTCGATTTGCATCTAAACGTTAGTTACACGTGAATTGAAATTAGTTTTTGGAGTATGTATTGTATTTCTGAGAAAAATGTGGAAAGGCGACCAAAATTTTCGCAGTAAATACTATTTTAAGTTCCAGAGCAGTTGTTTTGTCAAAGTAGAGGCACGCCGGTGTTTTATAGCGCCCTTGCACCAAATAGATTTAACCGTAAGAAATTGATGATTTTTACAAATTTTCAACATTTCGCGGTTTAAGTGGCGAACATTTCTAACTTTTCACAAAAATGTTGGGAAAAAATGTCTCAAGTTTTTGCTCCGATTTTGAACGCTCCAAAAACCACATTTTTGCACATCCTACAGTTTTCAATGAGATTATTACAACCCAGGGCATTTACTTAGTTTGCCCTCGCAAACGATGCGCCCCACGACTAGAGAGCGACCCAGAAACCGATGACAGACGATGAAAAGGTATGCCCGAGGCAGGTCCAAAACATTCATATTCGGATCTCAGTCAGATAGTACTGGTAAATAATTCAATTTAAACACCTTTCCAACTCTGGGTGTGCGGGAAAGTGAAAGATCGAGTAAACTCTCCACATCAATTGCTCAACATTTCAAATTCTATTGACATTGGACTTGGTCTCCTAATTTGTTGTTTTCAAATAAGATTTCACTCATTCTGAATCGAATAAATCTCTTACTTGCTTCATAAATTCGGGTCAATTTCACAAAAATTGTGTTGACTTTTTGACGTGAATAAATCATCATGTAATCAATATAAAGCACCAACAAGGCCTGAGCACATCAATTGTGCAATCAAAAAGTCTTCCAGTTCAAGTGATGCATAGTCAAGCTTATAAAATGTATCAGCAACCAAAGAGCTTACAATCATTGGAAACAATGTAAACCTGCAAATGATACAACCGATTTTCTTCAAACTATTGGTTTTCACATCAATCGGACAGCGAAAGATGTAACATAACACTTGCTGTGCCAACGACAATGGTTTCGTTTTTAACATTAATTGGATTTTATTGATTCTGAAATGAAGTTTTTAAATTGAAACCACCGTATTTCTATAGCAGAAGGAAACATATTCCGACCTCAAAAATTCAATTTAAAATTTAATTGATTTTTCTTTGGAAGCTTCCGATTTTGTTTTCAAAAAAGTTTTTATATTATATTTATTGCAGATATGATTGCAATGTAAAACAATCGAAAACTGACTTAAGTGATTTTCCATTTAATATCGTTTATATAGATGATGTCCCAATGCAACTTTTACCTTTCAAATAATGCTGAACAATGTTTATTTTCATAAAAGGTGCAATTTGAAACCGCAAACAATATCCGAATCGCTTTTTGTGGGCGAAGCAACCTTTGTATGAATTTTTTTTTTGTATCTCCTTGTGCATACTGAACTGAAAGCACCGCGTTCTCCTTTATATGTTGAACAATAGCGACTTTTTTCGTAGAAAAAGGACTTGCTCATTATTATGGAAGCAATTCGATCACCGTGAATTTCAACAATAGAAACAGATTCTCCGAGAGGAATCTTTTATTGTCTTCCTGAACTAAAATGATCGATTTTAAAATTGAAACAAACGGCATCAAATCTATTATTATTTAGTTGTGCTTGGCATGTTTTCAGTTAGAGAACCCTGAAAGAATGTTCGAAATTTAATTTCCTTCAAAGTTTATATTCGTGATTAAATCAAAGGAATGGAAAATTCCATTTTGCAAGAATATGTTTCAAATTGTTGTGGCAAGTAAACAATTTTTCAATTTTTGCATCTTACAATAAACAATTTATGCAATAAATAGTATAATTTTCACTGTGTATGGGCATGTTTAATGCAATAATTACAAATTTTCGTTTTTGTTGATTTTCATAAATGTTGCCAAGTTGCTGGAATCTCCGACTCGAAATCAAATTCAATTTAATATAGCAAAAGTTTGTTTGTTTACTCGACGAAGTTTCATTTTCAAATTTTAACCGATTTAACATTCAATGAAATTCAATATTTGGCATGAATAACTACATTTTAATAGTGTTATTATTCACTACAAAATTAAGTTATTTTCAACCCTTTTCTTCATTTCGACTATTTCACTAATCGTTAAATTGGAACGATTACGATTTTAAGGAAGGAATGATTTATATAGACACTTAACAGTGATGAGGGGAAATTTATGAATATAGTTAAACACCTTTAGCGATCAAGTGCATTGAATATGAGGTATTTTTAGATTAGTTTAAAATATCATTTAGATCTTCAGGGATGAACGCGGGAAATTGATCAGCTTGAGTCACATGATTGACACTAAACGACTTGGCATAAACTTTTAAACCTTCTTCACTTCTTCAGACTTTAAACTGAGACGATTTTTCAGCTGCTGTGATTGTAAGCTGTTATTCTGTGTAAAAGCTTCGTTTGCTCGTTGATTTCGCATGAAAGTCATTCTAAGTCATTCCACTTTAAAATCTAGTTCAAAATTTTTGTCGACCAGGGCGTATTATCTGGTACGATAATAGAGGGGAAGAAGGATCACCTCATGTGCCTGATTATTAGGCTTGACACCCCATGACCGTATATGCATTCACCAATTGGTGACCACTACCTATCCGCAGTTAGTTCCTACTGAGCACTTAGTTCGAGTAAAAATTTAATTTTCTTCACCAGATCCAATAAAATCTTAAAAATTCTACAATTTTGCCGTAAATGCAAGAATTAACTGCACTGATAAAATGAAATAATTAAAGTTCATACACCCAAAACCCGTAAAATGTTCAATGAAAATGTGTCGCTAACGTTGCACAATAAAGATTTAAATCGATAAAGTTGATCGAAACTTAAAGTTGAACCCTTATGAAAACTACACTATTGACTCTAATAAATGTCTCATGCATATTACATTGTTTGTAATTTCATCGTTACATTGTCGAATCTTTTGAAATTCACTTTGTTTCCGAAATAATATCCCAATCTTGATAAGGTATAACAAATGATAAACAAAAAAGAAATACAAACACACTAAAAGTTTCCTTCCCATCCAAACAGCATAAACGGCAGTAAATATAAACTGAACGAATAGTGTATCAGAGCAATTCTAAGTTTAATATGAAATTGGTGATTCCAAGCCATTGAATCCGAAATCTACACTTCCTGTCTGCAAACACATACATTAACAGCTTTTCCACACCTCCTTCCATTCAAAAAATCTTCACAACAAATAAAGTAATTAGCATTGCAATGCCGTAAATATCCCGAATACAAAGTGAAAATGTTCGAACACTATTTGACTATTGGCCCATTCAACAACAACAACAAAAAAAAATGTTGCCATTGCGTCTACACACATTTCTTTGCGTCGCATTTAACGAAGTGCCAATGCGGGCCATTGTAAGGGCTCTTGGTCACAATGCCCAAAATAGAGGCCATAAAATTAATGAATGCAAAGAAAAATGGCAAAATAACCGAAAAGTCCATTTCGAATGAACGGTGCTCGGTGCGTTGATATGAGAAGGGAAAAAAGAAGAAAAATCGCCGAAGAGACTAAGAGCACTTTTACGACGCTTAATGTTCATTGAATGTAATAATTTTTGTTTTCTGATGTTCATCAGTGTATTTTGGCATTGATGTTCATGCTCATATCACCGAATCAACTCGATGGAGGAAGTGAGAGCGACGAGAGTAAGAGAGAGAAACAGAGATGAGGGGTGGAATATTAAGATATAACCGGCAACAACAAAATATCTATTTACATCCGACAAGGAAAAAAACCTATTAAAACAACTCTTCGGTGCACATTTCTACACGTGTGATGTAACGCCGGGGAGGTGCGATGCGAAGAGAAAAGTAGTGTAAGGCAAGTGAACGACGATGAATATATGGAATGCGAATAGTTATTGCTACAGCATTTTATTGCAGAATGTGTCCAGTATTCAACTGGAATTTCTGGCTGCTTTCATTCACGTCCGACAATTTTCGTTGATTGTGGCCGCATTCTATTATATTTTCTCTCTTTTCTCAATCTCAATGCTTGAGCATGGACGATGACCTAATTATCATAGCTTTTCGATGATGATTTTCCGTCCATTCGTCCGTTGTTCTACTTCACGTATTCGCTTTTTGATCAAAGTTGAGCATACAATGTATTTTATTGCGTTGATTTCGCATGAATCGTTTTGGAACACAATGCAATTATTATTATCGTTGACCGTCATGCGTTTTTGTAGGCACGGCACATTCAATGGTTTTAGTCTCTCTCTCTCTATCTTAATCTTATATATCTCTTTTTGTGTGTTTTTGGATAGAATTTTTTTTCGTTGCGCATTTTGTTGAGTCGTTTTTCTATTATCATTTTTATTAGATGCCATCATGAGGCCAGATATCGAGCAAATGCAGCCGTCATCATCAGCACCACCAACATTGTCATCATCAACGACGACAACAACAACCACCACCACCACCACGACACAGCGACCGAATATAACAATGAATCCAGTAACACGCAGCCAACGGTTAATAAGTTCGTTATCAGTATCAACCGAAAAGCCGAATTCGGCAAGCAAAGGAATCACTAACGTATCGTCAAAGTCGATAATTAGCTCACCACCATCGATTGCTCTACCGCTAACCGCACCATCGTCAACAGAACCATTAGTAAAACCTAATCTCCAAAATGATTTTGACATTGGACCGTATTTAGATGACACCCGAATCACAAATATCACCGTACAAATTGGCACCAATGCCTATTTACCCTGTAAGGTAAGTAATTCAGACACGTTTCAACCATTTCTATGCGAAACACTATGCTCTTCGCTCTCTTGTTCTAATATTACCACCAATTTCCATTTCGAAAATTATTGAATTCATTTCAAAACCAATACGACAATAGCCTGGGCTTTTGTTATGCGATTATCTCGATCTGTACGGCATCGTTTTATGAATTCAACGATTTTTGTGTGCGCGATAAGCGTACATATCGCATTTCATTAGAAGTTTTTCGGTTTAATTTTCACCAATGCTACGGAATATTGTATTTTGCATTTTGTTTTTATCACCAGTATTGATATATAATTTGACCTAAAACAATGGCAGTAAAGAGCACCAAAATGGAAATTAAATACCTTTTTTATATTTTGTGGACGTGTACTATGTGCCATTGACATTATCGTGATGTGGCCTTTTTGTACGCTTAATATCACACAAAATTACTTTGGCTTTTGATGGAAAACAACACACAAGCAAATTACTTTTTTACATTGAAAATTGCGCTCGCGAAACTATTCCGATTGGCCTTGTATTGAAAACCATCAAAGAGGAAAACGGGTTATGATGGAAATGACAAAACGGAAATTGAATAACGCCAAAGTTACACGGATAGTTTGAGAAGTCGTCGTTTTCACATTCTATTTCGCTTTCTACTCACTTCTATTTCAATCTCTCTCCCTCCCTTACACCCTTTCGCTCTTCCTTTCTCTATCGATTATCTTCCGCTCCCACTATCCCACCTCCTCCAACTCTACCGCTTTCTCTTGTTTTTAGTGTCGGTTAGCCGTCAGAGATCAACATCAAAGACTTTACGTCAAACTAATAAATACAATGAAAACATCAACTCGTTTGCAAAAGTAGTAATAATGCCTGTGCTGTTCGATGCAAACGTATCGCCAGCAAAACTTTTTCGGGACCAGTGCAACCGATTGCATAAATATGACATGCACACAAAGAACGGTACCAACACAGTGAAAAGTACAGAGAGTGAGAGAATGTTGTAATTTTGTGTTGGATGGTCGGTTATATTGAGGTGAAAACTTGTTTGTTGTTCGGTTATTTTCGTCGTCATGAAACAAATGTGCACGTTCTTTTGCAAATAAAATGCGTTCAAACTCATCCATGTTGCCAAACAAATCACTATCCTCATTTCAGATCACTTGGCATCCACACAACTACAAACTTTCACTCACTTTATCCGGTGGCTATTCGTTTGCATTGTTCGTGTCAATGTTCATGGACAACATCAAAAAAGTCGTTGAATAAAACCGAAAAAAAGTAGTTTTTCTCATGAAAACCAATGTCTGTTGTTTGCGATTGTAAACCGGACGTCGAAAATCGTCGAACACACTTCACATCAGCTTTTTGATCTCGCTGTTTCCATCAACCAACGTGTTTTGTTATGTGAATGCGTCATAACTCTGGACAACAATGGAAGAAAGGAGGTGATTTGATAACGAAATTTCCATTTCGGTGTGATTCAAGAAGAAATCCCGTCTGATAATGAGATTTATCAATTCAGGTTGTCACTTGGAATTTTAAAGTTTAAAGTGAATTTGCAAAAGTGAAAGTAAAGAAAATTAGTCGAATTATGCAAGGGAATTGATAAAAGACGGAATTTGACGTGCGAAAACTGTTAAAATTAACGCTCGAAGTACGAGAAATAGAACGAAGAGATTAATGAAATTTTGCGAATTTGTGTGGCCTTTTTGCGATAACTTCAATTTTTATCTCCTTACTTTTCCTCGCTTTTCCTCGATGAAAGTAATATTATCTTCACTTGCATTCGAGAATGATGGTCCACAGTAAATCCAATTTTCTTCAATGCACCTTACTGGCATTATTCGTTTCCATTCCCCTTGCAACCTGATTTATGATAGACCATTTTTGTGTATTTGTGTGCTGTTCCAGTTTATGGTTTCCCATTTTCGTACGTTATAAACAAGAACATTAATACCCAAACTGTCGATATATTCATTATTTTATTAGCTAGTCGAATCATCGACAGTGCCAAAATAAATTGCCATTGAACACATTTTATTGCAAGTAAAATGTAATGCCCATTAACAACCGAATGCAATGCTTTTTGATGCAATTTATGATGCTGTTTTGAAGGCACCGGGGATACATAATTTTTCTTTTTTAGCGAAAATAAAAACATTGTGATTTTCGACAACAAAACAAATCAACTCCACTGCAGTGCCAGTACACGAGTTTCACTTTCATAAATATTGTACGCGTTGGTTGTTTTACAAAGTGTTGCAAAAACACTTGCTATGAAATATCGAGAAAAATGAATTATTATTTTAATAGGTGAGAAAGAAAGAGTAAATGCGAGTATTTCTACGCTTTCTTCGGTCATTAATTGTGCGTAGTTGGTAGGAAATTATAAGGAACTTTCGGGTGAGCTGAAGATTTTTCAAATTTTTCAAAAGATGTCGCGAAATTTCTGAACTGCAAGTTTTCTGAAATCAACGGCATTGCCATTGATGTGTTTTTGATGATCTCAGTCATCCATTTACAAATTCAGGCAACTTAGTGCGTTGTCTCCGCATTGACTCAATATGGGATTGATGGAGCGGTGTAGAGAAAGTCTCCTCATCCTCACGAACTAAAACTCCTTGAGTAGCAGCTGTAGTTTTTTTTACCAAAATCGTAGCATGTGTAACCAAAAAAGTTTATTCAAAGAAAATAGCATGATGCGTGCGGATAGGTCTCTTTCACTCTCATACAAAAAATAACGAACAAACAAAATTACGTGAAGGTACCCAAATGGTTAAAATACGGACTTATGTCGAGATTTAAGGAGCTGTGTTGATGGAGATGTAAGGATGACTGTGAAGAGATGTGTTGATTTAGATAAGAATAGTTAGTGCGTACACATGTAACCATAGTTTTTTGTCCGTTCATAATAATTCTATTTTTAAAGTATAGGATTCGTCTACTGATGGTGTACACAGAAAAATATACAATGAAAACTAGATGACATGTCGTAAAATGTTCAGAACTAGTTGACAATCCATCAAAAATGGTATTTGTCCATCTAATTTTCATACAAAATATGGCTTTTATGTATTCTTTTTTGTGTGGTTCTTCTTCCTTTGTGTTTTAAAAACGGATTGTCAACTAGTTCCGAATTTTATACGATATGTCATCTAGTTTTCATTGTATATTTCTCTCTGTGTGAATTTATTGGATTACTTTAGTTATTGAGCTCATTGATGATGATGAATTCATCAAGCTTTTAATTTTGTAAACTCAAGAGACCTCAGTCTTTAAACATAAATCTAGACAAAAATGCATCACGTGAAAACAATAAATAGCAATGTAACAATATTAAGCATTTACAAAGTAATTAAGTCATTGTTCCATTCTCAGTTCAATAGATAGTGTTTCTTTTGAATTTATTGAGTTGAAATTAAATTTCCGTGAATAGAAATGTAATTTTGAGCTTAATCCTCTCTATAATCGATTTTATTCTTGGTCATATGATTAATTTCCAATAATGTTTTATTGCGATCTGAACATAAATGTTGATTTTTCCCGTTTAAAATTCAATTTAAAAACAATGGGGTCATATTTTATGCGAACAAAGTAATTTATTTGATGTTTAAGTCGATGCCATCGAATCGCTAACTTTACCGAAGTAATTGCATCCGATGGAAAAAATAGCAATAACAAAAATCACAATGTTAGAAGATCTAAAAAAGAATCCAATCTGTTTAGAATGATAATGTGATTTTCTTTGCTACACACATTGAATACGTTATGGATTGCATTGCATGTTCTGAGAAAAGTGTGAGCTGTGTTGCGATATCTGTCTAAAAATGATTATCAATTGTGCAATCGAGTTATGAAGCGAAGGCAAATCATGTGAAAACTGTCCCATAAGCGTTTTATTGAAATAGTAACTTTGATTTCATCAAAATGCTTGTATCGTAAAATGTCAGTGCACATCTCGAACAAATGCGATAGTCGAAATGGTTGAAGCGATAAAATTTCGGTCTTAATACGTCGTGAATTCCGTAAATATCATATTGTGAAAATTGCGGTGCAGCGGAACAGAGAGGCGGAGAAGGAGGTGGCATGTGGGCATAGCAATGGACTCCGCTTGGCATAGGTCGTGTTCAAACAGTTTATATTGTAATATAATTACGATTGCATGAAATGTTCATGAATGCAAATTATGCAATGGTCTTTTTGAAAATTATGCGTTGAATGTGTATTGAAGCCAGTACGGATATCCGTTCGGACAGGATCAAATTGAATTAATTTTGTCATGCATGCGCTTGCTTGCATGCAAAACGAAAATCGAACGAAAATTTGTGTCCATCTCTATTGCTCGCCTACATCTCTTCCTCTCATTTATCTCTGTCTGTTGTGCGTCGATGGTAGATCGGCCATTCGGCAGAGTCTGTCATAAAATGTTATTGCTAACACATAAAATTGAATTGCGGATGGTTTTTTTTCTAGCCATTCATATTCACTCATATATATGGTGTGTGTGTTTTTTTTTTTCGATTTTTATTTGTGCACGAGTTAATTTGAAATTTGTTGTATGCTTTTTCGTTTTGCAGGTAAAACAATTGGGCAACAAATCTGTTTCATGGGTGCGTGTACGTGACGATCACATACTGAGTGTTGACAGGTAATTTAAAACAGTTTACCAAATCATATAATAGAATGCATACAGAGGCCGGATTCAACCAACAGCGACAGTCACCAAACTAAATTGAACCAAACACACTTGACCATTTTCCTAAATGAAAATTTCATTTTTATTACTTTAAATACTTCATATGATTACATGCACTCACTCATTCACTCTCTCTCTATTTACTATTCGCTAAACCATTCATTTTAAACTAAACACATTTATCAAAATGTACATACACCGGATGCACTATCTCGTTCGTTTGCATCCATTTGAAATCGTGCGCTTGGCAATAGTTCTACGATTACGTATTCACATAACATGTAATACCATAATTCAAATTGCAAACCGTCACATATCATGTCACAGCTTCCCAAGCTAATTTTTCCCTTTTGTCACAACAGTTAATGAAATTGCTCACAGTCGATCCAACAAAACAACAATTTTAAATACACTTCATGCCACTTGTATCACTCATAATCATACACAATTCTTTCTCTTTCTCTTGGTTCTCACTATTTGTCTCTATTCTCTATCTTCCTCTCTGTGTGTGTCTTCATCCGCTTTCTCTCGAAATTTTGCTTCTTCATCTCCCTACCCTCTCACTCCATTCCGCTTTCCATTTTCTTCTCAATTTATCTCTTTCCCTTTCACTCACTTCACCCTCTCCCTCGAATTTTCAGTTCTTCTTCTCGCTTTCATTCTGTCCCACTCACACCACAGTTGATCAATAATAATAAGTTTTCGTAACATCGTCTCTCTGTATGTGTATCGCTTGCACAATGAAAACAGCAAGATACACCTGTCTGCAGTGACGTCTGTTCATTGTTATGATATCGCTTGGATTTGGAGAGTCAACGTATTTTATACAACTACAACTATTACCGATAAATGTACCAGTTGATGATTTTGACATTAATGTTGACGCAATGCCCACAGTTATTGCTGAGCACAAACACACACACACATCCGCTTCAAATGTGCTAATTCTGTTGTCTTTTGTTAAGCCAGCTTTTGTGTCGACACATGCTCTTACTTCATTTTGAATTTTACACCAGAAAATTGTGCACAAAGTCTCACAAGATGGATTTTGTCATGCACTTTGTGGAGTTCTCACGGACATTTCCAATTTGAAATACAATGAGATTTTTTAATTAAATCGTTTGAATAACGCAGCTTGAACGCAACCGAACATATTGAATAGCTATCGAAATTAGAAATCCAAAGGTGGGAAGTTTCAAAATAATTTTCTTTTTAAATTTCAAAGAAGAAAAATCAATTTTCTTGGTGACCTTTTTGGAGTATGTTTTCTATGACAAGGATGATGTTATGAGTAACGAGTAGAAGGAGCGCATTATCTATTAACGACGGTATTAATGGTAGTGATGGACAAAAAAGAGATCTACTTCGGGGTGGATTGCCGGACGATGGCCATTTTCCAAAAATGATTGCATAAAAAGTACTATGCAATAGTTTTCGGGCATACAGATTTACATTTTGCAGTAACACATTACAATTGTAACGAAGCATTACTGTAATGCTATTACAATTGTAATGTTAGATTTTAGCATTACCAGTAATAGCTA